ACAACCAGCAATCATAAAAAACCACTGGCACAATTGCTTTAATATATGCAGGATTTCACAATAACAAATTGCCTCAACGTATTTATTGTATCATGGTTATCTATAATTTCTGATATATACATGTATTCCCAAAAGACAAAAATAACTTGTTTGGCTTAAAGGAGGGGAGCCATAAAAGGAGGGGAGCCGTAAAAGGAGGGGAGCAGGTCATTGATCAATCCTCCCCTCCTTACTCAAAACACAAGAATACTGATGCACCCTTCCTATACATGAAGTTCCACCCAAATACACTCTAACGTATAAACCGTCTAGCTACCCCCTCCCTGAGCTATGTAGCTGAAACTGAACATAGACTTTAATGGTGCTGACATCTACAAACTGCGGCTTTGCACTCCATTCCTATTCACAGATACCTAAGCTCTGTATCTGTTCTGAACTGACTTATAGTGACCCTAATCGGGCTTTCAAGGTGAGATATTTAAGTAATGGTTTTACCATTTCCACTCCCTCAGTGAACTTCCATGGCTGAGCTAGGATCTGAAGCCTGTTCTGCAGAGTCCTAGTCCATCATTTTGTCCACTATACCACACTGGGGATCAAGCTTTGTTGGTCCAACTGATCCACATTTGGGGGTGGAAATCTCAGTGTCTTTAATGGGCTTAGGCCTAGGTAAGCTGAAGTTTTTCTCCACGGGGAATCAAAAAGTGGAGGCTACTTGTTTTGTTTATCCATAACGTCTTGGCCTTTTGGCTAAGATCAAGTGTAGTAAAGTTAAGGTGCAAGAAGTGTACACTAGTGTGCCCATGTTTTGAGTGAAGATTTTCAACTAGTTACTACAGTATCAACATAGTGGGAACTACTATGGCAAGGTGACTTGCATTATTAGCTCCATCTGTTACCTGGGTTCTAACTGCTGATAGGTAAGACCTCGACCACACTTCCATTAGTTGTTTCTCTCTTTCAACCAAACATGGACTGGATAGTCCTTTAACTGGAGGATTCCTTCAAATGGGGATGTATGGTCATCTAAAGTGCTTCAGTTAGAGGACTAGCTTTTTTCAACATGGTCACCATAGTGAAGCTGATGTTTTGCCTCAGTTAACTTTGCTCCTTTCTACCACATGTGCTCTGGAGCTGATGCACTGTTACAATTCACAGAGGATTTAGATTGACTACTGTGGCTTTTAGCTTGTTGTTGGAAGGAACTCTTGTGGTCAAGGCTTATTTTTTCATAGCATTTTCCCCAGTGTTGGGAATTATGCCTTCTTACTGTGATATTTTCTGTTATAATTTGTGCTTTAATTCAGGAAGAGACTTGGTTTTGGGGAGTGAATAGGTTTGGCCATGCTCCATTAGCCTCTTGAGATGGGATTAGGAAGCTCATCAAGAGGTCCAAACAGTTTTGGGTGATAGTGTCAATTCTGTCATATGCATAGGAACAACTCGAAAACAGCACTCCATTCGTGTTTTCAGACAGAAGCAACTCAAGAGTCTGTTCATTCTTCCTTCCAAAGCTTGTTGAGCAGGTCATCCGCCCATGCTGCCTGCAACAGGCTAACTGAACAGACCTAATTTGCAGTTATTGCCATCAAAGGCCAGAACAGGTAAGGACACACTTCAGTCTTTGTGCACCATGCTGGAAATGATTGTAACAAGTTGGGCACTATTTTCCACTGTATTATACTTTACATGTAATTAATAGAGTGGATATCCATGGAAAAGCACATTCATTCCACAGGTACTAGGGGTTCTTTGCCACAAGATAAAAAAATCTATGCATAGTAATTACATGATTCTTACATGTACCTTCTCATGTGCACTGAATGCACTGTCCATTTTGTTCTATGATAGAATGACAATTAGGCTGTATGGAATTTTTATGCAGAAATGTCTCATATAAAATTAACTCAAAGTAACTACTGCTGCTGCTATGATGACGATGACGATGATGACAACTTTGAATAGAGGCATAGCTACTGCTTTTCTATTCTGTAATATATTTTTAGTGGATTTGGTCAATAATAACTTTGCAGGCTTACAACCTTTTAGGGAAGTTTAAAATTGTTTTCACACTTTCCTCACTGCCTTCATTAGTTTTCCATAAATATGTTTACAGTAACGTATTGAATTTGAAGGTGTTACAAATAATCCCTTGTTGAATTGTTGTATTATTTTGTTAACTGTGTCCTTCAGGAGAAAGGAAAAGCAGAAAGCCAGTTTTTGCTTTGAACAACAGAATCTGTATTCTGTTATGCCTTCCATCTTACAGGGAAGGTATCTGAGAACTTACTTGTCTGTTCCTATTTATCTTGCCGTGGAGTATATTGATGAGAAGAGTAAGGTCCAATGGTGTTAAAATAAGACATGAAATATTGATTAATGCTTTTTAAAAATTCCTTTTTGCTCCTGAGTGTAGCAGTTGCTAGATCGTATTGTCAAATAAGGTACTTTCCAATAAGCCTGTATTATCAGAAGAATCCCCCTTCTTCAAAACCCTCAGGTAAAGTGGCTATTATCATCCTAAACTGTTAGCTTTAAATGCCCAGGGTAGCATGTTTTCTGTGGCTAAAAAAGGAAACTGGATAACGGGAATGTAGCTAAACACACTTGTTCCTGATAATAATGGCCTTGTCTTTTCTCCCCAGATTGCACTGGAAACTGTGAGGGCAGTTAGTAGGAAATATTCCATGCAGCCGAAGGGAATGGTTTTTTTTTTCCCTGAGTAGCCAGAGAAACTCAGAGAATGAATAAAGAGAAGGATTAAGAGAATGCTACAAAGCTGGCAGTTGCAAGCACTGAGAAAAAGTTCAGGCTCAGTGTGACTTTATTAACAGTTCTCACATCAAAGTGAAGGACATTTGCAGTGTGAAAGATTTTCAGGGAAACAAGTCCCGTTGTGCTCAGTAGGACTTACTTCTTGGTAGGGTTGTAGCTGGTAATGATCCTAATGGTAAAAAGAATACAGTAATAGCTGTCGTGTGAAATGGGAAGGAGGAAATAAACAATCAGGCCTTGATCTCTTGGATGAAGCAGTTTTATTTAGCAAGAGGAGGAGGAGTGGTAATAAAGGCTGCAACTTTATTTATTTAAGAGATATGGCAACAATACACAAGTTATTGGGGCCAATATGATGGGCATCTCTTGCTATTGCATCGAATTTGTGTGTTGTAGTTTTGTATTTTAGGTCATTATCCCCTGATAGGTTGCTGAAAATGTTGAAGATGTAAGGAACCCCGTCCTGTTAAAATGGGCGGCAAGACTGGAAGAGGCCTGACGTCTAGATGCGTCAGGTTCAAACAACTGAGAAATTGTAATTTGGGCCCAACCCAGGGGGAGGGGGAAAAATAGTGGGAAAGGTTGAAAATATGCTCACCAACAGCATATGTCTTGCAAATCATACACCAATCTATGGTGACCACAGTTGAAATTCTGTGTACAGCTTTGGTCCCTGCCCCAGGAAAAGGATATCGTAAAGCTAGGAAAAGGTAAAGCAAAACTATCAGGGGAGTGTAGCAACTCCCTTGTATGGAAAGGTTTGTTTGGCGCTCTTTAGCTTGGAAAAAAGATGAGCAAAGGGGGACATAATGGACATCTATAAAATTATGCATGTGGAGATCTTCCATAGGGAAAGTTAGTGGTTCCTAACACAAAAACCCATTGTCATCCATCCAAGGCAGTTTAGGACTGATGAATGGAAGCTTTTTTTAAATACAGTGGGGTCTCGACTTACGAACTTAATCCGTATTGGAAGGCAGTTCTCAGGTCGAAAAGTTCTTAAGTCGAATCTGCATTTCCCATAGGAATGGATTGAAAACCATTTAATCCGTATCTGCTCTTTTCGTCCATAGAAACTAATGGGAAGCTGCTATTCCGCCTTCTGCCACTAGAGGGGGATATTTTTTTCTTTTTTCCTTTTAACCTAAGATGACTTAGCTTTTAAAAAAGGGGGAAAAAGAGTTCGTAACTTGAATCTAAGTTCGTAAGTCGAGTCCATATATTCCTATGAGAGCGGTTCGTAAGTCGAAACGTTCGTATGTCGAGCCATTCGTAAGTCGAGACCCCACTGTAACAGGGTGTAGGTAAACTGTGGGAATTGCCACTGCGTAATCAAAGATTGCTATCAATTTCAATTGCTTGAAATGAGAATGAGCAAACATCTCAGATTATGACGTTACACTGATGGCTTCTAGGGAAGTGCACAGCAAACACTTCATGTCTCTTTCATTTTGGGTTCTTTTGGATGCTTCTTTTGGTTATGTCACGTACGTGTGCTCAGGTTGCTCCTGCTGCTTTCATCCTGTTTTCTAATGAGGAGAAGTTCTCCTCTGCAGCTCCTACCCAGACCACTCCAGTGCTCCCCTGGGATGTAGGGCCAAAGGATACAGTACATCTACAACCCACCACTAAACAAGGAAATCCCTAAGTGTGGCTTGTGTGGAACTCTCACAGTAGGGGCTTATCTCACTTGTCATAAGTTGTGTGTGTGTGTGTGTTTTTAAAGTTTTGTGATTCATCTCTAGGCTGTAGCAATGTGTTGTTGTTTTTTCCTTTGTACATTTGGAGGTGCAAATGACTTCCTCAGTTGTAGTTCCTGAATTTCAACATGATTTCAGCTGCAATGACAGGCTATCTCTAAAGTATAGTTTGGTCCTTAGAGGAAGGGCCTCGAAAGAGAGCTGCCATGGGAGTGAAGGGACAGGGAAATCATTGTGGTCCAGCCATTTGGGGGGGGGGCAATTTGGTCAAAAAGGATAGGATAAAGTTTCAACGAGCAAAAAAAGGAACAGATTCTCTGCCTTACCATATAGCATTTGTTTTTCAGGCTAATTCAGAGGGCCCAAGTTTGACAGAGTGAGATGACAACTATAGATAACACAAAACAATTACACATTTTTGTCAGTTTGTCAAGCTGCAGTATGCCTTTCATGCCATGTAACAGATGATGTGTCTTTGAGAACGTGTTAGCAATTTTTCAGTACACTCTCTTGTCTCGTTTACAGGGTCCAGTCAGGATCGTATCTCAGCACTGGTTGGTTTACCTTAATTCTGGCTATGGATGCTTGCTACCAGATTCATGTCTATGGGATGATAAATGACACCTACTGCAAGTAAGATCACAGGAAATTATTTCCATGCATCTACAATTCTGGTGCCTTGTCAACATTTTGCTATTCATTCCAATAGCATAAACTGGGGAAAAAATGGATTAAAGATGCATTCTCCCTCACGCACATACACAAATACCAGGAACAGTGTGTGTCAATGTGGCACTTTATTGTCAGTGTATTTAGTCCCCAGATGGCACACAGTATCGATTAAATAAAAACGTTTGCTAAAGTTGAATGTCAAATGCCATGCAGAACTTTTAAAGCAAATTACTTTCTGCCAAATCAAATTGAAATGGGGAGAACAGGAGATGTTCCTGATTCCCTTGTAGCTGCTGTTTACTGTAAGAGTGTACAGTGGAAGAAATACAAATCTATTTTCTCCCTGAACCCAGAAAACCAATGGCAGTGGTAAGAACTGGTTTGTCGTGATTCCGCTCAGGGGGTCCGCTCATACAAGCAGGCAGACATGCATAGAAGTATGACTCACTGGATGAGGAACCAGAGACATACACCAGATACATATTAAAATACACATTGCTATGTATACATCAACAAGCTTTCTTTTTTGCTTAGCTTTGCCTTGCTTTCAGCCGTTTCCCATCAGCATTCGGACATACATAGTCATCCATAATGAAATAAGTTGAAATAGGGAAAGAGCTGAGGATAGTTTATTCAAAAGTAGCTGTCCTCAAGAAACAAGTAAAAAACTATTTAAATTGTCTCTTGACACAGTATAGCAGTTGTGTTTGCTATTGATATTTTGCCATAAGAAAATATGGTGGCATATATTGTCCCTGGAAAGAGTTCTTGTTTCCAGGGTTGCAGTTAAGAGCAGGATTATAGTGCATTTGCAATGGGGTGAAGGGAAAATTGTGTTGCCTTATCCTTCTGATCCTTTTGAAGCCTCTCCGTAACTATGCCAGCTTTTAAGTATTATATTGGGGGGGGGGGACCTTGATGCATGTACCTGTCTGAAGTCCAGGTTTGCAAACATGTCTTTGTTGCATTTATACACACTTTGGTACATGCACAAGCATGCTAGGTATGATGATATTAATGTCCAAATCTTTTAAAGTCTCTTTAGGTAGTTGATACACATAATTTTTTAAAGCAGCCCTCCGATTGTGCACACATGCTTCATTGCTAAGGCACTTGGACAATTCTCCTAGCGTTTCACTAAGCAGGTGCCACTTTCCATGTTTCATGAGGAGATTGTTCCTTTTATTAGATTTGAGTCCATCAGTCTATCCACTCCATAACACTGGTTCTTTTAATATAAACTATGCAGATAGGCATGTCTGCATAGACATAGGAATGCCAACCAGGGGTGCAGAGCAGAGAATCTTTGCTTATTTCATTCTTGCAGAAGAGAAAGGAAAATTGCAAACATTTCCTGCCCCCAAGTGAAATTCTGAAAGTTTCTGCACATTTTTCTCATTTGAGGAATTTTTTGCAGAAAATTTGCAAAAGTTTATGCTGCACAGTACTTTTGTATTTCACGCAAAAATGTGTTTCACACAAGAGCCATTTTGTGCAAAATTCAAGAGGGTTTTTTGCATTCAGTACAAGTTTTTGACAATGCTTCTGTTGATGGGAAAAGGCAGTGGATGGCATTTTTTAAAAATCACTCTTTTTTGTCCCAAATAAGGAATATTTGTTATATAAGTGAATATTTGTTATGACTTCAGTATCAAAACTGTATTCATGAATTTATATCTTTTTTTTCCTCTTTGCTATAGGTCTGAAGGATTTAGGAAAGTTCCTTATCACTACTATGAGCCTGGAAGAGATGAATGTGATGAATACTACCTGCATGAAAATGCACCCTATGGAGGCCACAGGTTTATCACAGAGAAGAAAGTATTTGCAGAGTGGGCTAAGAACCATGCAATAATATTTACACACCCTAACTGGACATTGTCTTGATGCTGGTTCTCAGACTCTAGTACTAGTAGCATAATGTTCCATGCAAGACATATCTTGGTGTACAATCTTATTTGTAATTGACTTGACCTTCTCAACTAGGTAGTGGCATAAATTCCACTGTGTTATAAGGGCAAAAACCTAACACTCCATGGAAGACATACAATATGTTTATTCTGTCCCTTAGGAATGAGATAGTATAATGCATTTTACTTTTTAACTGGGTATTCTGAAGAAATTCAACATGGCACCAGTTTGGTTTTAAGGTGAAAATGTTCTTAAGGAGGGAGATACACAGTCACACAGTCTCAATAACCTGGATGTTCTACAAATACTTGAATTTATGTTGTAGTTTCTCATTCTTAAGGCAACATCTTTTTGTCTTAGGCACAATGAGACAAATTATTATTAGCTACATAGCTATGTAGTAAAGGTTGTTTTTTTGTTGATTTTGTTCGCTTTTTAAAGTACATGGCTACTAATTCACTGTTATGTGGGAAAATTAGTGATGGGCTTGGAAAGATTCCTGAACTTCACTTAATTCTACTTAGGAGGATTTTGCATGTCTGATGCCCCAGGGTAATAATTATGCTGTGAATTTCAACCTGCTTTCATAACAATGAATGTTCCAGGTTTTCTGGGCATTTCCTCCAAATCTCCTATTGCAGATTAACAGCTACATTCTGCTCCTTCTGTACCCAGTTTTACTCTGATCTCAGAGCAAAAGTTTTGTAATAGCTGTGTTAGATTCTAAAGAAGGACTGTGGGCCTGAGTAAGGAAAGAGAGGCTCAGGATTCTGTACTTCTTAAAATGGTTTTGGAAAGTGAATCTTTTGTGGTCTTAATTACTGTGGCTCAACTTCCTGCCTCAAATCCTCTGTACTTAAAAATGAGGATAATACTTACCTCATGAGGACATTGTAAAAACAAATGATTACATCTACAGTGCTTTTTCAGTAAGGGATACTTTATTTGTATTACGGATATATACCCATAGGATCTTGACACACATTGCTCTGTGTTTGTTTCCTGAGTATATACCTTTATTCTTGCTGCGATGATTCAGTACACACTGACTTCTTTTGAAGATTCTTATCACAAAGCTATCCCTTCTACAGGAAAAGCTCTGGAATATTTCACACTTGTCCATTTCCAATTGAGGTAGAATACTGCTCAATTTGTCCATTGGCACAGAACACATGGATTACGTCAACAATGAATATAGCTTTACAGTAGAAACAAGGATCCAATATGCAGAGAAGAGAACTGAGATGACGGGATCAAGGTTTGGATGGTGAGAGTTCTGTCGTACAGAATCTTATTACAGAATTATTTCAGTATACCAGAAGAGGTAGAATGTTCTTTTAACAAAACAAACCTTAAGGTCTGTGTCAATCCCTAAAAGACAGTATATCTACATTACTGGATTTCAGAATTACAACACTGTAATAATACTGCTAAAACTTGAAGAGAGGTTTATTCATTTTTATATAGAACTCTCAAAGAGCCTGAACAGTCACCCGGCATGCCACACTGTCTTGCTAGATCATGAAAAGGCAACTGCAAAGTCATATTTTTACATGTAATTATTTGTATACGGACTGTCTTTCCTATTGTATATTTGTATATAGAGCTCTATATTTTATACGTCAATGGTGTAGACATTTTCATTCCCTCATCACCATTATGTGCTGGGGGTTTGTGCACACATCATGCTGTTATGTGCTCTTTTCTTGCCTCTTTCTCTATAGTACACAAGAGGTAAACACTCATTCCTCCCCACCTGTAGGGTTTCAGTGACCTCTAGGAAATTACCTCGAGCCTCTGCTTTATTTGTGGGCTTGTAACTACCTCACAGGAAATAAGAGATGTTTTTCCTGGTTCAACAAACAAGAGTCATAACAGAATGTGTGCACAAACCTTGTACAGAAAACATCTCTTTCCTGTTGTGCATTTGAGTTCTCTGTTTTGTTACTGTTGCTGCTGTTCCATTTTTCCTGTTCTTTGGCTATTTAGTGATTAGCATAAAAATCAGCCCCAAATCTACAAGTGCTCATGTAGCAGCCATAGAGCAAACAGTTTAGCTTTTACAGAGCTTGTGCAAGAAGATCTCCAGGATCTCCTTATGCAAGTGTAAGTCAGCTATTTGTGACAGGAGCCACTGCTTGAATAAAGGTAATGCCTGCACAAGTGGAAGGTCCTGCATTACTGTGCATAAAATTCAAGTGCAACACAATTTGTATGACCTGGTATTAGTATCCACAAGTTTTGTGAATGAATTGCTCTAACACTGACATCTACTTAATTAGATGCATTGCATTCTTAAGACAAAAACAGAGGATAATTTGTGATGAGATAAGGAAAATCCTCGACTAATTACAGCTTCTAAGTGTCCCAGCAGGAGCTGCTCTCCCCTTTGGTAACAGGCAAATTAGCTTCCTTTGTTTGGTGTTTGGTCTTCAGGACTTAAGCATGGGATGCTGTTGGAATCTAATTTCATGAACCTGAAAGACTGCCTCAGTCACTTTTCTCCAACATTAACACGTTTTGAGGTCTAACGCTGTCTAAAATGTCTGTTTAGATGTAGCACCTAAAATAAGATCATGGTTTGAGCCTATCTGCAGGTAGCTAGCCACATGGGGTTTACAGAAGAATGACCTTGAAAAAACCCTATATCTTATAGTCAGAATGAAATTCATTGTGCACCAGGGCTTATGTGTTCTGTTTTGTTTCTTCAAATATAACAGATGAAGTAAGTGGATATACACATCCACTAATCATGTGCCCCATATTGTTTGCAGTGAGAGTGTGGATAAGAAAGGTTAAAGGTGCAACACTATAAATATGTACCTAGGATCAAGTCTTATTGAATTCAGTATACAGTAAGTTAATTTTTTAGTAGATATGTCAGTGCCCTGCTTTGCCCTGTTAAGGGGTTAACCTGGAAATCAAATAATTCGCCAAAAAGTGTGGGAGGGGAGTAGAATAATAAAAAAGATGAAATGGGAAGTTGCCTTTTTCTTCTTTATCAATGAGACAGTCCAAAGTAATTAGGTAGCACTTTGGAACACTGGAATAGGGCCACTGAATCAGTGGGAATTTTGTGAGCCATGCCCTCCATGAGTTCAAATGATTCAAATAGAGCTCCCTAGTTGCAACTTACTATACTAAGCAATGGGATTTCAGCCATTGCCATAGAAGTAAGCTTGGTTCTATTGAACTTGGCAGTGTCAAATCCAATCTGACTTTCAGGGACCATATAAGATTTTCCAAGGCAAGCATGTATGAAGACATCAGCATACAGGCTAGGTCAATGGGCCATCTCACATCTCCATAAGAACTGTTGAGTATTTCCCCTGTTGACTGGGGTGAGACTATGGCATTAAAAGATTATGCATAGAAAATAGAAAACCCAGGAGATTTAAGAATCCCAGAAACAGGAAAACATCTGGAGAAAAAGACAAAATGGGGAGGGAAGTGGTTATAAAGAGTAAGTTTAGAGGAGTAAGTTCTGGCTGGATAGCTCAGTGGTTTAGATATCTGGCTTTGGAGGCAAAGGTTGGGAATTCAATTCTCCACTGTGCTTCCTAGGGGGAATAGCTAGGTTGTGTAGACATAGACAAGCTGCACAGTCTTAAGGAATGGTAAACCACTTCTGAGTATTCACGTAGATGGAAACCCCTGGGAAAAGGGCCATAAGAGGATTCCCAGCATGGTGTAGTGGATAGAGTGACAGACTAGGACTTTGGAGAACAGGGTTTGAATCCCCACTTGGCTATGAAAATTCACTGTTTAATTTAAATCATGCCTTAAATGTCTCACTTACCTTGAAAGCACTGCTGTATTAGGGTTGCGATGAGTTGGTTCTGACTTGACAGCACAGAGCACATACAGAGGAGGAAGGAGGCAGGCAAGAAAAGGAGAACGTAGAAACAGTCAGGCTGGAGGGAGGGAAAGAGGAAAACACCCGAGAAAAGAGAGTGAAAGAAGAACCTAATGAGGAGGGGTTGAAAGATGCGATCAAGGAAGAGCGTAAAGACTTCTGTCGGGCACACATGGAAAGACCAAGAGTGAAAGAATCACTGAGGAAGTGGGAATGAGTACAAAAAGAGGATCCATGGACTGGGGAACTGGTCACTTTGAGGATCCCCAAAGCAGAAGCTGAATGCCTCTACAGTGCTTTGGTTCCCCAAAAACTTTCCTGTTGGTGGGAAAGAGAGGAGGGGTGAAAGGCTGAGGGTGTCCAGTAAGACTGATCCAACTTGACCCATGCCAGACTCCTTTGTTGGTTAGAGTAGGGAAAGGAAAGAGAGGAAAGTTATCCTGCCTGTCATCATTGTCATTATATAAGCCCCCTCCCCTTCTGCAAACATCCTTGATGGGGTCACCCCGGACCAGCTAAGGCACTGGTGCAAGGGAAAAGCACACACCAGTGAACTGGTTGGGGAAATCAGGTGAAAGTTATCAGGAGCAGGGCTGTCAATAGCTGAGAAGGACTCAGAAAGAGTTATGAGTTGTTTGCAGAGACCCCAGGTGTTAACCTACATTTAATTTCAATAAACCTTGTTGTGTATGATATGGATACAATTTGTATTATGGAACAGAATATGGATGAAAGACTTCCAGTAGGGCCTCAGCAGTGAGGTGGAGGCCATGGTGGGATATTTAAGAAGTAGTTTTACTGGTGTCACTGCTCCCCTGCCCCTGTAACTTTCAGTAGCCAAGTGGAGATTCAAACACAGGTCTCCTGAGTCTTGCTCCATTACTCATTCCACTGCACCACACTGGACAACTGAACTTAGCTCTAGGCAACTATAGCCTAAAATGTGCAACCATAATCAATCATAGTAGTACTCCTAGAATACAAAGATATTAAGAATGTTTCATCCAAATTGAAAGTGCCACATTTGTCTGAGGGCTGCGAAACAGGACTTGAGGAAGCAATGACAACAATCTAAAAAATGATGAGTAATCTAAACTGTAGTAAATCCTGTGAGCTGTAAAAGATTACACCTTGCTAGATTGCTTAGTGCTTTATGTATCTGATATTGGAGTCAGATGTTGGGAGAGGCTATCTAGAGAGAGTGGCTTCCTTCTCCCCACAGTGTCCATGTTGACATCAGCAGTGGAGAGGGTACGACTAACCTACAGTGGGGTCTTGACTTGAGAACTTAATCCGTATTGGAAGGCGGTTCTCAAGTCAAATAGTTCTCAGGTCAAATCTGCATTTCCCATAGGAATGCATAGAAACCCATTTGATCCGTATCTGCTCTTTTCCGTCCATAGAAACTAATGGGAAGCTGCTATTCTGCCTTCGACCACTAGAGGGGGATATTTTGTTAGTTTTTTTCATAGGTCAAGAAAGTTTCAGAGAAGGCAGGGAAAATACAGTCCAGGCAGTCCAGTACCAGGCAGTCTGAAGACTGGCTCCCAATCCACTCTCTAAACGCTGGGAGGAGTGAGGAAGCAGACAGGCACCCTTTTCACTGGCCAACAGTTAACCGAAAGTTCAAATTTTGCACTTTCCCTGCCTCCCACGTGGGTTTTTTTTCAGTTCTTAAATCTAAGTATGTAAGTCAAGTCAATATTTTCCTATGAGAGTGGTTCTTAAGTCAAAATGTTCTTAACTCGAGCTGTTCTTAAGTCAAGACCCCACTGTAGTTCCATCCACACATCATATTAACTTGCTTAGTTAAAAACAGATCAGGGCTACTGGGCCAGTAAATATGCACCAAGTCATTGTGGGCAACGCGGGCTTTGATAATGGCTGGAGACCTATATGGCCCTCAGACAATATCTTTCTCAACTTAGCTTTAGTAGATAAAAAGAGGTATGTTCCAAGCAAAAATCAACTGCTCTGGGTTGTATCCAGAGTTTTTGATCACCCTACAGTGGAAATTTTATTCCCTTCTACCCAAGGAAGATTCTTCTTCTAATAGACCAATGGAAAATTGGATCCAACTCTATAATTGCACTTGTTTATTATCTGTTTCTGTCAGATCAGCACTCCAATTCAGTATTTATAGATCAATATTGTGATGAACAAAAATCAGAAGGAAATTAATACTTCATTTACTTCTTTCTAGCTGTAAAGTTTTAGCTTCATTCCAATTGGTGGCCTGTGTGCCATCAAGCGGCATCTGCTTTAATAGGGTTTTCAAAGTCAATGAAGATTTTAGCAGTGGGTCCACCACACCCAGTGAATTTCCATGGCCAAGTAGGGATTCAAACCAAGTTCTCCTGAGTCCTACTCCATCGTGCTACACCATACTACGTACACTGAATGTGTAGACTAGACCCACTGTATCAAACTGATTTGTCTAGTAGTCAGCAGTTGGTTCAATGAGTGTTCTCTAGTTGGGATCAGCCCAAGGCATTGACTTAAGACGTTGACAAAATATATTCAAATGAAAGAATTTAGTGCTAATAAGGCGTCATAGCTCATTATGTATTCCAATAGGGGACTTCAGGAATAATGTCAGAATGAACATGAAATTCCTGTATAATCATGTTCACATCTTCTAGTGACAGCAAACATTTCTGAATGTGGGATTCTAGGAATTGTAGTGGAAATATACTTCCCAAGATCTGAACAAGAGGCAGTTAGTTTGACATGAGGAGCATAATACTGCACTAAACCTAAGTGATAGATAGCTCACAAAATATTCTCATAGAATCACTGTACATGAGAGGCAGTTTGCATTGCATGATATATGCTGGGTTTCAGATTTTGGCTTGGTGTCTGACTGTAAGGTGTAGTGTGGTGTAGTATGGAGGTCTGATGTTAGTAGTGATTAAGGAGAGTTATTACACTAGCTTGTTATGAAATAATTAAGGAATACACAAGAGATTTGCTTCAAAATATTGTAAGATATTCTTTTTTTGGGGGGGGAAGAACTGATAAATTATAGAATTATTTGAATCATGTAGGGCTTTCTGATAGCTGGGCATGCAGCGTGGAATAATAATGTTCCCCAGTGACCAGTTACCAAAAAGATTCTGACAGATTTTTCTTTTTCTTTAAAAGTTACACGGAAGGGGCAGGAGAGGAAAAGTAGCAGTTGAATTGTAAACGTAATAGAACTGTAAAAGAATTGTCCTGGTTTTCCCTAGACTTCTTGGCAACCTCAATAAAAAAAGATCCATTTAGAGACACATTGTTCCAACATCCTGTTGCCACCTTTGGAACTTTAGAATGAGCACGTCAAACCATCATCTGAAGGAGAAAAGCCTAGTGGTCACATCCTTTCAAAAAATTTAAGAGATTTTAAGGGTCTGAAGTGTCAATATAAAACCATCTGCCAAGCTTCGCTCCTGGCTTGATTCTGAGGTTTAAAAAAAAAAGGACTTAGAGCTGGGAAGTTTAGATTTTAAAATTGATTAGTTGGAGTTACATGTTAGAAATTGGAAAACCAACTCATGGCTATAAGGTTGGGAAAGCAAAAAGATATAACTTGTTAAATCAAAATGGTCTAACTTGGCAAATTGGCATTAGTGGCCAAAATCTTGCAGAACTGTTACGCCAGCATGATATAACTTGCGTACATTTCATCAGCAAATTGATGCAAGTTAAAAAGACGGTGAAGGTGCTTGTGATTGCTTGCAGTCGTCTCACTTGGCCTGCAACAGCAAATGCCTACACTAACTTAACTTGCAGCAATTCACCAACAAGATTTAGGCAGCGAGTGGGACCTCTGTTGGTACAAGCAGGCTCTCTTTTTCTTATTGTAGAAGCTGGGCAAGCCTACTATTGAACTGACAGACAAACCTTTACCTTCAGTTGCGATATTTGGAACCCAGTTGTTTCTGGCCACTTCAACAGTATGGCTTCTGCATTATGGCTCAGTGTTATTTCCAAGCTTTGAGACGGCTACACTTGTGCCTTTACTTCCACAAGGTGGTTCAGAAGGCTTTAATGGAGGGAAGCTGGCTGGCGAAGCTAGTGAGCACTGATTGGAAAGCTGCTGTCTCTTCTGTCTTCTTGCTCTCTGGGCCCTGCTCCTTTCTGCTGAGCACAGACAGGCGAATCACCCCCTTTCTTAGGCAATTTTATTAAAAGGCTAGTCTGGCATGCAGACCGATTTCCCAGTCTTATGATCAGGTTTTTGTTAGGATTGAGTTGCACTGGAGGCATGGGAAAGGGTTTTGCCTTTGTTTTGTGGGCTGCAGAGAGGAAATGACTGGGATATTAATGGAAGGGGAATTGATTTGTGGGGATTGGAGCAGGAGATTAATTTGGAAGGGAAATTAATAGAATGGGAATTGATTTAGAGGGAATTGAGGAAAATTAGTGTTCTAAGCTGTCTCTTCTGCCTTCTTGCTCTCTGGGCCCTGCTCCTTTCCGCTGAGCGAATCACCCCCTTTCTTAGGCAATTTTATTAAAAGGCTAGTCTGGCATGCAGACCGATTTCCCAGTCTTATGATCAGGTTTCTGTTAGGATTGAGTTGCACTGGAGGCATAGAAAAGGGTTTTGCCTTTGTTTTGTGGGCAGCAGAGAGGAAATGACTGGGATATTAATGGAAGGGGAATTGATTTGTGGGGACTGGAGCAGGAGATTAATTTGGAAGGGAAATTAATAGAATGGGAATTGATTTAGAGGGAATTGAGGAAAATTAGTGTTCTAATTTAGCTTAATTGAAGAGGAATTGATTTGGAGGAAAATGAGAAAAAATAAGTGTTTTGAGATAAATTAAGTTAAGAGGAGATTATTTTTGGCTATTTGAAGTACAGGGTTCAAACCACACCCCTGGCTTGGCTGAGCTTGGCTGAATGACTAAT